CTTTCTTTTGTTATGTATGACATGGAATGCTAGTCGTTTGGCTATATGGAAGTTCACATTTTATGATGATGTACCACTGGCTTTTAAAAATTTATGATGATGTATCATTCATGGGAGACTGTATAAACTAATTAATAATACTCTCTCTCTCTCTCTCTCTGTTCTCGTTTTTTCTTTTTCTTTTTCTTTTTCAATTAAATTCTACAAATTCAAAATTAAAACATAACTTTTAAAGAATGAGAATTATGATTTATTTATTTATTTATTTTAAACAGAACAATCATAACAACAATGTGTCCAACAATGAAAAAATTCTTAAGAAATAATATTTATTGTATCGGCCAAGAGTTGCTAATTACAAGTACATGAATAAATAAATAAAAGGGCTAATTATATGTACTATAATCATCATTTGAAATTCTTACTTCTTCAAAAGATCAACTATATATGTATCTATATATAGTGGCGTTTGGTAACGTTTATGTTTTTAGTTTATATTTACAAAAATTTTATAAACTGGTTTTTATTTATTTTTAGAAAAGCATAAATAATAAACGCGTTCGGTTTAGACAAAATGTTTGAAAAATTTAAAAACATAAACTAAAAACATGTTTGATAAGGCCAAAATTATTTATTTTTTAATTTTTGACGATGAAATTATACACATTATAATAAACATCTATAATAACCATATTGATATAATACCAACCATAAATAACTATAATTGTAATGTTCATAACAACTTACAAACCATAATAATATCACGAGATATATTACAAAATAACCTCAATAGAGACAACATTGTATCTCAATCACAACATTATTTAGTTATACTCTTGTGAAACCTGGTCCTTAGCTTTCTATCATCAAACTTGCCCCACTTTTCTCTTGGAAACACGGGATCTAGCACAGATCAATAATAGATCTACAAACAACCCAACAATATTTATATAGATATTAAAAAAAACAGCAGATATGTTGTTATAAAAATAAAAAAAGAAGGAAGCTCAAGCTCTCTGTGAAACAAAGACCGAGAGAGAAGAGAGGGAAGAGAGAGAGACTGGCCTGAGATCAGTTTGGTTTGGAAATTTGCAAAATATTTGCAAATTTGCAACAGATTTGTTGTTTTAGAAAAAAAAAATCCATCAAGCTCGGTGAAGCACAGAGAAGAGAGGGGAAAGAAAGAAGAGAGAGAGAAGAGAGAGACTAACCTGATGATTTGTTCAACATAAGCAAAGGAAGAAGATAAGGTTATATACAAGTTTTAGGAGAAAATAAATTGAATGAATTGGGTCCTCTGAAGATTCGAACCGTTGTCGGTTTGCCTACTTTTAATTACTGTAGCTCCGCTACAGTGACTTCCGTTTTTGAGTTTATAAACCGAGTTCGGATTCTCACCTTGAGGAGGATCCTTCATTTCCTGCTTGCAACGGCTGTTGGTCATCCAACGGCTGAGATTATAAAAATAAAAATAATAAAAAAATCAAAAAATGAAATGTTTTCGACTTCCCGCCCAAACAAAACAACAACACAGCTCAGGAGGGATTCATTTTCACTCTCACACAGCACTCTCCTCCGTCGAACCCATCCTCATCCTCACCGGTGAACGCATCCTCACCGACGGCGAACTCCACCGCTCCAGCCTCTACGCTTCGTGAACTCCACCGCGACGACCACCATCGGTTGAGCAAAGATCTCTTCTTCACGAACCAGGTTGGTCTTCGAACAAAGATCTTTTGTTTTCCAACGTCTGAGATTGAGATTGAGATTTGGGTTTGGAATTGATATGGACAAGTTAGGGCTTTCAGAATTAGGGATTTTATAATTTCAAAATTAGGGATTTAAAAAATTAGGGATTTGGGTTTTGAAAAACTAGGAATTTTGGGTTTTGAAAAATTAGGGATTAGGGCTTTTAGAAAAATTAGGAATTTCAGAAGTAGGGATTAGGGATTTTACAAAAATTAGGAATTTTAGAATTAGGGATTTGGGTTTTGAAAAATTAGGGCTTTTAAAATTTGAAAATTACGGCTTTGAATTTCTATGTGAACGGCTAAAAATTTAGGGCTTTTAACGTCTGAAATTTTTTTCAATTTAAGGATGATTTGGTAATGATTTTTTTAAAGCATTTTCAGACTCTCTGTATTGTTCATCTAAGACTGATGATTGTTTAAGAGAATGCTAATAAATGGTCATCTTGTAATTTCATAGCTTTGAGACTATGCTTTGTTCATCTATGACTCTGTGCTTTGTTCATCCATGACTGAAAATTTTGTTCATGTATGAAAATTGAAGCTCATCCAATTGGTCTTTTCATGGAATTCTTTTCCAGTAAAACTTTATTTTCTTGAACCTTTTAATTACGAATTTGAAAAAATGTAGTGTTTTCTGAGATAGTATGCTAACATTGTATTCATAGGTCTGACCATCTAGAGTTTTCCTGATAAGCATTGAGTGAAATCATTTTTCTCCGGCATATTCTTGATTTATTTTTTCTATGCTTTGATTTGACTTGATGCTTGTGAATAGTTGAGATTTATTGTGAAAAAAAAAAAATGTTCTCTCTGATTACAGACCATCTATTTAAAAATTCATGGTAAAAGATTGAGTGAATAGAATACATCATTTTGTTCAATATATCTCACTGCAGGTATGGTATAAGCCCTTTTTTTGGGTAAAATAAGTTGAAAATTTTTCTAGTCAATATTGTTTTAGTTCTTTTATTTCTGATCAAAGATGGAGTGAAAGAAGTCATTTTCTATATTGGTCTTGTTTGCATCTGTTAACATTAGAACCAGTTTGCATTTGCCATGTAACCAACCCACAGTTCTGATGTTATGTAACCAACCCATAGTCTATACAATTACATCTGTTAATAACCATGTCTATGAGAACCAGTTTGCATCTGTAACATCAGAACCAGTTTACATCTGTTATTAACAATGTCTTCAATCTGTTTGCATCTGTAACATCAGAACCAATTTGCATGGAACAATGTCTTCAATCTGTTTGTATCTGTTATGTAACCAAAGCAGAACCATGCAGAGTCAGAAGCATAGCAGTTTGCATCTGTATCTGTTATGTAACCAATCCATAGTCCATACAATTGCATCTGTTAATATCCATGTTTGCATCTGTTAACATCAGAACCCATTTGTATCTGTAACAATGTCTTCAAGTTGTTCCTATGGGACATATTATTAGAACCAACTTCCATTAGCACCATTAGCACCAACTCCCATTAGCCTTCACACTCTGTCCATTAGCACCAACTTCCATTAGAACAACTTCCATTAGCCTTCACACTCTGTTCCTCTCCTTATGTATGCAGATTTAAAAAATGGCTTCTTCTGCTAACATTAGCGACATAAGATTAGTACCGAGGATGTGCAATTGTGGAAGAACAGTTGCCATACATATTGTAAGAACCAACGAGAATGGAAATGAAGGGCGTTTGTTCTTTGTTTGCCCATCGAAATATGTAAGTTGGTAATTCTAGCTATTTTCTTCCTTTATTAGTCACATTAATATTTGTCTTATTAAACTAATGTATTCGCAAGCATTGCAGAGTAACACTCCCATTCACCATTGCAATTACTTCAAGTTCGTGTCTGAAGATGATGAAGACGTTACGTCCAGAATCCGTTCCAACAGTACAGATTCTACTGGTATAACAATAGAAGACTTGAACGATATAAGGATGAGGCTTCATTACATGGAAAATGACTATGGTCGAAGGCTGCAAATGATGGAAAATAATATCAAAAAGATGGTGTACTTCATTGTATTTTGTATCATTTTGTACTTTATGATGTAACTTTTCGACTTTATTGTATTTTTGGGAAACTTAATGGAAGTTTGTATCCTTTTGGGTTTTATGTACTCCAACTTGTTATCTATTATCTGTTATGGAATGAATTTTGGAAAACATTAAACTTCTTATCTGTATGGAATGAATGATGGAATTTTGGAATGAATTATGGAATCAGTATGCCAATCTCATTTTGGAATGTTGGAATGAATGATGAATGATGGAATTTTGGAATGAATGATGGAATGTTATGTTATGTAACTATAATATACGAGGTCAACATGAATGCTTCAGCTGTGTGCAGAACCATGAAAGGTATTTTGTCTGCTGATTCTATTCTTGTTGCACAGGCAAATTATGATTTATGTACTGAATGCTTCAATAATGGGAAACTTGACTCTGGATGGTCCCCGACGGATTTCATTCTCATGGAGCCTGCTGAGGCTGCTGGTGTAAGTGGTGGGAAGTGGACAGATCAGGAGACCCTTCTCCTCCTTGAAGCATTGGAACTTTATAATGAGAACTGGAATGAGGTTGCTGAGCATGTTGCTACAAAAACAAAAGCTCAATGTATTTTGCATTTTGTTCAAATGCCAATTGATGATTCTTTTATGGACTGTGATGCTGGAAAGGATGCTAGTGTCAAAGAAAATGCAGATACAGCTATGGCCGATAATGATTCTTCTGCACCTAAAGAAACACTTGAAATACTAGAGAGTAGGACTGGTACAGATGAAAATCAACCTCAGTCTTCCCCAATGGAAATTCCAAAGCCAAAAGATGCTAGTGAACTGAAAGCTGATCAGAAATCAACCTCAGTCTTTCAGAACCATTTTCAGAACATCAGAACCATTTCAGAACATGCAGATCCATTTCAGAACATCACAACCAGTTTCACAACATGCAGATCAATTTCAGAACCAGTTTCTTCAGTAGCATACCAGTTTCAACATCAGAACCAGTTTCAGAACCAGTGTTCAACACAGCATGACTTATTTGTTATGTTCAATACAGCATGTTCAATACCAGTTTCCTGAATCTGAACATGAACATCAAGCAACCAACATGGACACCAATTTAAATGAGCATGAACATGAACATGAACATCAACCAACCAACCAACACATAAATTAAAAAAAAAACATTAGCAATAACAGAATCAGTACAACTTTAACAATAACCAACATCAACCAACATCAACCAAGCTAAATGAACATTAACAATAACCAGTTCACTTGGGTTTAACATATAAATTAAAATCAACTGTAAATGAACATCAACCAGTACAACTTTAACATCTAAATTAATACATTGGTCCTTAAAAATTGACACATTGGTACTTTAACATCACTTTCCAGCAGCAGTTTGCTTCACAATTTCAGAGGCCATGACTTCACGTTGCAACCCAATTTCAGCATTAGTTTGGTTCTGTTGATGGTTGTCCATAGCCTAAAAAAAAAGACAGAATTTTTAAGCAACTATAAATACATGATATCACAGAATTTTTAGCAACTATAAACTAAAAATACATCAAGGACGAACCACACTACACATTGGAGTAGTTGATTCTTGAGAATATCGAAACCTAATGTCATATCCACATGAACCTTGTAGTAGTGACTGGAATGTTGGTCGAGCAGAATGCCGTTGAGCCATTGAAGTTGGCAAATAATTTGGCACCACATACATCTCCCACAAATTGTTCGCCTACAACAATGTCATATATGCTTTCAGTTATGGTTTGAGTCACATATTATATCCACACAAAAAATACAATGTTAAAGTAAGACTTATATGATATGTGGGATACATCAATGGTGGAGGAATGTAATTACCACCCATGGGCAAAGATCGAGGAAGAGGATGAAAGGGAGGAAGAGGTTGAAGCGGAGGAACATGTTCACGAACATATATATCTCCTCCAACAGATAATGGAAAAGGTGCAACCGTTGAACTTGCAATAGATTGTGACGAAGCCAAGCTGTTAGCACGGGATTTTTTTTTGGAGTTCGCTACCAACGCTGCTTCGAATCCACCTTTGACCCTCCTTTTGCCCTTACTAGTTGCCACATTTTTCTTCAATCTTTTTGGTTGCACAACATGATTCACATCTTCGCATTCCACTTCAAAGCTTTGGGTGTCATCATCATTACGTACTTCATTTCCAACACCAAATGAGCACTTAACTTGCCTTCAACATTTGCACCTAATATAGCAAGGTGTGCAATACAAAAATCATAAGTTTCTTCAGTTTCAGCAGCTCTACTTGCTACTGCTCTAAATGCGGTCATCAATGTCTTATACTGCGAGGCTTGTTGGAATTTCACATCTACTTCAATGTCATTTTCCTTAATGTGCTGCATAGTTTCGGCTCTTGCTTGTTTGGTCCACCTCTTTAGAATGTATTGTGGAGGAACCTCTTTTATCTTCAATATGTCTCTAAAGACCTTCAATGAGTGACAACACAAGATTCCTTCCCTTTCAAACTTTGTACAATTACAATCCAAAGAGCCATCTCTCTCCATCTTCACTTTCCTTGCATGTTTGTTACCAACATCAACAACTGTGTAAATGGTACTAGCCTCGCCATATTTAATTGCTTCTATGTCCGATTCAATGGATTGAAAGTACTCGTTTTGAAATTCCTCAAAGATCTTTTTTGTGTAAACGTTACCCATTTGAATTAACATTCTTATTGTTGCTTTGACCTTTGGCAACCTTTGGCACAAAGCATAGCCTGCTTCTAACTTCTTGTATCGCTTCTCATAAAGTACCCTTTCGAAATGCATGAAGAATTCATTTAAGTTGAAATCAGAACGAATGTAATCCTTCAAAAAAGCATTAAAAGATTCACTAAGTTGTGTGGTACTCATTCCCGCAGCCCATGTTGATCTAACATAAGGCCATCCCCATATTTCTTTCACTGTTAAAGTCAATTTCAACCAATGATTTTCACGCGCATCATATTTATCAAGCATTTCCGCCCACTCTAACTTCCATTGATTTGCATCTTCAATGTGAAAGAAGAATTTATTTAGTACACCCTTCACCCCCTTATCTTGGAACAAACAGTTAACATGTTTTAATGCATTTTGCATCAAATGCCAAGTACATAATCGATGACTTGTGTCAGGCATAACGATGGGTATGGCTTTAGCCATTGCAGCATCTTGATCGGTGAACAAAGTTTTTGGTGCCTTCCTTGACATAGCCACTAGAAAGTTTTCAAACAACCATACAAACGATTCGGCGATCTCATCATACAACAATGCTGCACCAAATATAACTGTTTCCCTATGATGGTTGAATCCCAGAAAAGATGCGAAAGGTCTATGTTCTTTATTTAACTTGTAAGTCGTATCAAATGTGACAACATCAACAAATTGGGCATAATCCATGATCATTTGTGCATCGGCCCAAAACATATTGGTTATTTGCTCCTCATTATCTAATTGAACGGCATAGAAGAATGAAGGATTCTGCAAAGATTTTTCTTTAAAGTATTGCAACACATTGCCTACTTCTCCATTTGCTAAACTTTGTTGTCTTTTGGTTCTCAAATAATTTTTAGAATCTAATTTCGTAAAACCAAGACATTGCCTTCCACCAGCTTCCCTACCCATGAGTTCAAAAGACTGGCCTAAACGAAGACCAGATTGTGCCGCTAAATCTAACTGAATTGCTTTGGTCGTGGATATCTTTCTTTGTGACGGCAACATGTGGGCATACTCGGGTAATACAAGATCATGGTTGTGTTTTTCTTTGAAATCAGTCACAACATATTTTTCAGTACCCTCATGTAATTTAATATAAAGTCGAGCCTCACACCTAGTCCTAGTTTCAGCTCTAGAGTTTTTTGACAATGGGTCTCGCTTGTCAACCTTTCGAAATCCCTTCATGTTGCAAACCAAAAGTCTATGAATAAGTTGATTAGTGAACTTGTCCTTCCTACAATAATCTCTTATTATGCTAAACCCCATTCTTCCTCCATATGTATTATAAAAATCATACGCACATTGTTCAGAATCAAATATCATTCCTTGTTTTGGCTTCCAATCACAGTCATTCTCAAGTTCCATATCGATATCAAAATGCAACTGAAAACCCATATAAATAAAATCTTAAGTTAATGATAGTTGAGCTTCTTAATAAGATTGCAGGGTTGCTTAGGTTGTAGTGCCAAGAAAATGAATTGAAATTGGTTTATAGATAAAATTTATCTGGTTTATAGATAGGACCATATGTCATATAAGGAAAATTACTGGAATTAAGGAAATTGAATTATTAAAAACCAGATTAAATTAATATAGATAGATATTGCTTCATTTAATTATTCATGAGATTCAATATAACACATCTAGACATCTGTTAATAATTACATGACCCATGAGACTGCCATGTCTACAAAAACCAGGAGACATACTGTGATAAGGCCCATAACATTACCCTATTATGGCAAAACTGAGATAATTTACGAGCATTTTAACAAAACATCACAATAACAATCAGATGAGCAACAAAAGAGGTAAAAACACACCAACTATTTATGGATTCTAATGTAAAGATCAAAATTGAATTCTATTGTTTGTTTTGCTGGGTTATGACTCGAAGTCATAGCTTAGTGCTATATTGGTTTACTATTTCTAATAAAAGGTAAAACAAAGAGAATTTATTGATTGAATAATAAAACAAAAGAGGTAAAACATACCAACTGAGAATTTATTTATTTATTGAATTTATCCAATTTACAGTGTATTAATCAAATAGCAGAACCTTAGAGAAAAGTTAAAGAAATCATAAAGAGGTAAAACACACCAATTAATGAAAACTCGTATTCGATTTCTGACCTTAGTGTCGACTGTAATTTGTAAAGAGCATCAGTCGAAAGCTTTGGCGGCAGAAGATGTCTTAGGTTCTAAGGAGTTCGCCGTCGGTGAGGATGGGTTCGCCGATGAGGATGAGGACGGGTTCGACTGAGGAGAGTGCTGTGTGAGAGTGAGAGTGCTGTGTGAGAGTGAAAATGAATTCCTCCTAAGCTGTGCCGTTGTTTTACTTGGGCGGAAAGTCGAAAACATTTTACTTTTAATTTTTTTTTTTTTTAATCTCAACCGTTAGATGACCAATGACTCATATGAGCCGTTGCAAGTTGTTTGTTTTGCTGGGTTATGACTCGAAGTCATAGCTTAGTGCTATATTGGTTTACTATTTCTAATAAAAGGTAAAACAAAGAGAATTTATTGATTGAATAATAAAACAAAAGAGGTAAAACATACCAACTGAGAATTTATTTATTTATTGAATTTATCCAATTTACAGTGTATTAATCAAATAGCAGAACCTTAGAGAAAAGTTAAAGAAATCATAAAGAGGTAAAACACACCAATTAATGAAAACTCGTATTCGATTTCTGACCTTAGTGTCGACTGTAATTTGTAAAGAGCATCAGTCGAAAGCTTTGGCTGCAGAAGACATCTTAGGTTCTAAGGAATTCGCCGTCGATGAGGATGGGTTCGCCGATGAGGATGAGGACGGGTTCAACGGAGGAGAGTGCTGTGTGAGAGTGAGAGTGCTGTGTGAGAGTGAAAATGAATTCCTCCTAAGCTGTGTCCTTGTTTTGCTTGGACGGAAAGTCGACAACATTTTACTTTTAATTTTTTTTTTTTAATCTCAACCGTTAGATGACCAATGACTCATATGAGCCGTTGCAAGCAGGATGACCTCGTCAATGGGAGGATCCGGACTCTTATAAACCACTGAAAACACATTTTTTCAGTTTAATTTTTTTTGGTTAAATTTACAAACTAAGGCCAAGTTTGGGAAAACTAAAAAAGTGCACTTTTTGTCTTTTTGGACTAAAAAATTGAGGTTGAAAATATGGATGTTTGGGTTAACTTTTTGACTTTTTATTGAAAAATGTGTAATAAAAAATTGTAAAAATTGATTTGTAGAGAAAAATTTGAATTGGGAGTTGTGCAGCCGTAATTGTTGACTTTTGGTGAATAGTGTTAACTTTTTAACTTTTTGAGTAACTTTTTGACTTTTTAGCTTATTTGGAACTTCCCAAACTTAGCCTAAGTAAAATTATTATAAATCAAAAACCAAAAAGGCCACGTCTCTGCAAACCCTATCTTACGTTTGAAGAAGAAAACGCTTAACAAATCCATCAACATTCACAACATCGCACATGGTGTACCACCGCCGGTGATCTCCGACAATCTCCAGTGAGTTTTAGCAAATTCAGAATTTTTGATTCAATTTCTTTTGAACTTGAAAGTTTCTGAAACCTGAATAAAATCTGAGTAATTTATTTATTTATTGGATTATACAGCGATTTGGGGACTGAGTTTGGTTACGGTGTCAATAAGGGTTTGTGAATTTTTCGTTAGATGATGACGAGAAAAACTAGCAGCAGCTGTGCTGTCTGCGAGACCTCAAATCTTGCTTCCATTTGCGCCCTTTGTGTAAATTACAGGTGATTTCTCCAAATTCAATATCAAAATTCTATAATCTTGTTGAGCTCAGTTGCAAAACAGCATAAAATTTTCTTAATTGGGTACTATTCCCAACATAGTCATGCAAAACAGCATAAAATTTTCTTAATTGGGTACTATTCCCAACATAGTCATAACATTTGTGCAATGGGCCGGCGAATTATGAGGTATTTTGTATGCTGTTTGTTATATACAGATTAAATGAGTATAGCACTACTTTGAAGTCATTGAGGAGCCGACGGGATTTACTTTATTTGAGATTGAGTGAAGTGCTTGTGGCAAAGGTCTGATTCTGTCCCTTTTGAACTTGTTAGATTATTTCCTCTTGTTATGTTTGTTTCAATATCAGTGGGTTATCTTGTTCCGTCGTGTGCAATAACCATTGGGATATGAACTTATCCAGTGATAACTTATATTTGAGGCTTTTGGTCATTGAAATGTCAGTTTTAGTGAATCTGTTTAATTCGGTTTTCTGTCTCAAGTATTTTTCTTTGTGAGGAAGTATGATCATTGTCTTTGAAACATAAGGTATGTATAAGATGTACAACTGTGGATATCATGAAAAAGTAAATCCAATAATTGATTCCATGGAAGACTTACAAAAACCTTTGAAGGATATGGGAGTTCTCTCATTTAGGGGTTCGTTTGGGAAGTGGTTTTTTTAGTGATTTTCGGCTTTTTGGCTAAAATATGAGGTGGAAAAAACTGAAATGTTTGGGAACGGCTTTTTGGCTTCGCATGGAAAAACGTGCAAAAAGTAGAGAGAATGGGATTGAATCTTTGTCTTTTTTGTATATTTTTTTTGGTTTTTTGGCTAAAATTCTCACATACGAAGCGAACCCTTAGTCCACAATCTAAATAGCTGCAGCTTCAAATACTTGAAATAGGGGCTCACTGAATTAAGATGGTTGACTACTTGGCTCATTTTAGGAGACTAGAGAAAGGTGTTGTAAGTCAAAGTGTTTGCTTAAAATGGATTTATCAATATATCTAAATTGAGATTGATACTTGCCTACTCAACAAAGCGTTATTTAAGGTTAGCTAAATGTATCCTATTTTGCCATTATGCTCAATCAAGGGCCATAATTTTAGTTGAACCATGTGTTAACGTGTATTTCCTTACTATCTCTGCCTACATTGGTCTTCCTTGTCCTCTAGAGAGTTACCCACAATGTGGACAATGAGGGTACAAACAAATGGGTTATTGTAAATGCTACTTGATCATCTCATATGCTTTAAAAGCCCAAATGGAAAAATCTAACCCTTATGTGTAGCTCCTTCTATTTGATCATCTCGTATTCAATGGCTTCCTTTTAGATATGGTGTCTTTGATTTTTATTCTAGTTTGATTTTGTTCACTCCATTGTTGCTGCTTTTTCCATTGGCATTATAATAAAATGGCATGCACAATTAATCTAAATTCTTTCGCATTCTGGTCCAGTGCATCCCTGGTTAACATGCTTACTTCTCAAGTTTGATTTCTTAACCTTCATCAGGGTAAGGCAGAGGATCAGCTTAGTTGGAGAGTGCTTCAAAATGAGAAACTTGCAGGATTGAGGGAGAAGCTCCAATCTAGCAGAGAACAATATTCACAAGGTTGGTTGCCTTGCACTGTTGCTTGCAATTTAGGTTGAGCAGTGCCCAGATTTTACGTTCTGAGCTTGTTAGACTAATTGATGTTTTTTTAGGGAAGGGTAAGGTGGAGAAGATGTCGTATGATCTAAAAGTCAAATATGAGTTGCTTGAATCAGCCAGGACTACGGTAACAGATTTTTCATTCGATTTATGTAATTATATGGTTAATTAAAATATAAGTACTATTCTCTATCTCATGATGTGAATTTTCTTTGCTATTAAAAACATAGTGTAAAATTTCTATGATATTTGCAATGTATTCATAATTCCATTGGCATATCCATATTTTCAAGACGTCGATATCATCCACAATATTTTATGATACTTTATTAATTTCTCCAATTTATGTGAATCAATATCGATATTGTGGGATATCTGTCAATATATCCATATTGTTAAGGTTGTGGTATATTATTTTTGTTGTTATTCTATTCCTTGATCATTAGTGATGTTAGTTGTCTTGAACTTCGTGTTACAGTTGGAAAGAAATCGTGTCGAACAACTGGAAAAGTTCTATCCTAATCTCATCTATACGCAGAGCTTGGGGCACGTGAGTATCGTTTTTCATTATCAGATTTTATGTTTTGGTTACTTCTCTTATCTGTGATATTTATCATATGAGTTGTGCTCCACTGGAGGCTGACCCTGACCAAAACATTATATTCTTCAACTGGTCAAAAGATATTGTGTAGGGATGTATTTGTAATTTGTTGTTGTCTTTAATGTTTTATTGTATTTGATGCTTAGGATATTTATGAACTGCAGATGGCAATTACCTCCGAACGTCTTCACAAACAGTCAGTTGTTATCAAACAGATATGCAAGTTGTTCCCACAACGTCGGGTAAGCCCTTTAAGGAGTGGTTACTCTACAAGTATAATATGTTATCACTTCATTGTTTCTGTAGCTTGTCATGTTTTAATAAGATTGACAAATTTTCTAGTGCTGCTGTTGTTAATCAAGTGTATCTAATTGAATATGAATCTGAATGCCTTTTGGAACTTGATGTTGGTCATCCATTGGTTTTAGTTTTCAAATACTCCACTTTGTTTTTAAGAGGTGAAGTGAACTATCTATATGATGTTCTGCATTCTCTCTCTATTTTTTTCCTTGCCATCAAGGAATTTGGGCCTCAAAGGGCATACAATTGTCTCCTAGAACACATGTAGTCCCCTGTTCCATTTGCACCAACTAATTGCCTGGATAACTCCCCTGAGGTATTCACCCAAAAAAAAAAACTCCCCTGAGGTAGCCCTGAAGGGATGAGTTGAACTAACTCCTGCTGCCTGAGATGGGATCCAGGCTATCTTGTCTACCTTTGGGATTAATGTTTAGTTTTCAGGGGGCCTTGTTCTAAGTTTATAACCATTTGGGGTTAGTAGCCCAAATTTGTTCTGCGACTCCTAGACTCCAATCTGTAAAGAGCTGTATGATCAACTCATGCATTGTTTTTCAGTAACTTTTGTATTCTATGCATATCTTTTCCATCTTTCATTTTGTTGGCCCCTTTGATGGTGTTATATAGGAACTACAAAGTAATTCACCTTAGTAACAATACAGTTCAAAATTCAACACATTAAAGAAAAGCTTGCGGAAGATGGTTGCGTTGTTATTCCAAAGAGGTAGCTATATCATATTCATATGGTTATTAACTTATTACTAAAATTATATGAGATGAATATACAATACCATTATCCTGACTTCAGATCATTGTACAAAAATATTTTAACGCCCCGAAATAATTCGACATGAACTACCCACATAACTATTACATCAACTCACTTCCAAAATAGGATATCAACCAGAACCCTTTACATAAGATCAAATGTTTTACAAAAATAATCTCACATGCGGTTATACATTCATTGATAAACTAGTACATGAATCTATAGCATGTAACATCATCAGATCAAAATGAATAAGGCCCTCAAGGGCTTACAAATTCCAAGGCAATAGTCCGGTTACACAAAATGGTCTCTCGGATCCATACACATTAGCCATTGGCTTTACAAAAATTTTACACAAAAATATAAGAGCAAAATACTCTTCACAATCACGTCCACGCCATCAACTTAGCGGATCACCACATCTTTACCTCCACCAAATCCCATAGGGGTGAGCATAAAGCCCAATAGAGAATTGTCACAAAGTATATACAATTATGCATTTCCCTTAACATAAAATAAATAAATGCAATGCCATGCCCAAGCTAATCAATGAGGAAAAAATATTCATTTCAATGCTCTATTTCAAAATCACCATGTTCTCAATAATATCTTGTAATCTCAACAATTTCAAACTTCTATTAATTCAATAGCGGCGGTAAATACGACACTGGTAATCCCTAGGCTGGTGTCTGCAAGTAAACTCTACAAGTACTACCAAACTGTCATTTTTACCAGTATTAACCGAAAGGTTCGACACCTATCCACGCGGTTTTCTGGTCTTTCACCATGAACACTCAGGCCAACTTAACAAATTCATCTACATCCCTTAACCGGACTTACCACCGTATTTACCCCTTACACAATTTCATAGTTCACATTACAATAATACCTTTCTTCATGATGTAAGTCTCTTTGATTTAAGTTCACAATGCACAATGATCAATGAAGCAACATGCAATGCAAAGATATTTTTCATACCTCATAACATTTCTCCATTTTAAATATCTCTACAACAATGTCAACTTTCACATTCTCATATTCTCCTTTCAATATTCATCCACAAAATTAACATGTATCATCAACATCTTGCCACAATTCTCATTTCATATGCCATAACAAGTTAGTCTCTCCATGGCTACAAGTGACATATTTCAAACACAAATCCCCAATATTTACAATTTTCCCACCATTTATGATATCCAACAATTTATCACACACAAACTTGCATTATTTAAGTATTAGCAATAACATTTAAATAACACTTTCTTCTCATACATCAAGTAAATTTGCCATCTTGGTAAACATTGATAAAAACCCTCTCATTCATCATTTTAACACAAGAAAATAAGAAATTTCAAGACATTTTCCATTTTACCAAAAATCCCCCATTTTTAGGGTTTTCATCAATGACAAACTTTCATCATTTTCTAATAGAAACTCCATCACACCATTTTCCATGAGTTTAATAGAGGAAAACCCACAAAATAATAATAAAAGGTTGAAATACAAACTCACATTCAAGACCCTCTTCATTTTGAAATCAAAATCAAAGAAATCAACACAAAACTTCAAAACCCTTTTTAAATCAACATTAATCTAGTAAAACTTGTATATATGACTCAAGAAAACCCTACCTCAAATGTTTGAGAAGGAACAAGATGAAACCCTAGAGTTAGAAGATGAGAGAGAGCCTTGGATTTGCCTCCACCAAATGAAACCCTAGCTTTGGATCTTCAAGATCTTGAGAGAGAAGATGAAGATCTTGACTCAAGATTAGCAAAATCAAAGTGTTTTGGATGTTCGAGGTGTTTTTCTAGAGAGAAGGGGGAGAAATATAGGGTTTAGAGTAAGAGTGAGATGTGTATAATGGGTGGTATATTCGGACCAAAACGTTATAAGAAAACAGGGCACGAACTGCCCAGTTGGCCACTCGTGCGGCCTTCCCCACCGCTCAAGCGCCCACCTCCGCCGCTCGTGCGGCCACCTTCCTCCGCTTGAGCGCCTTTAGACAATATGCAATTTCTAGGTAGCAGCCTCCACCGCTCGTGCGGCCCCTCCCAGTGCACGAGTGGGCCAATTCCGCACGTGTGGCCCTGGCCCAGCAGCCCAAAAATTCAACCTCACCCCCGGGCACCCTGGACTCACCCGCACACCCTCCAGAACAACTGAAATTCAACACCGAACGAAATAAGAACAAGGAAACCATTCCTGGACGTTTCAATCCAACGAAAATAAAAAGAGAACGAAGCGAAGAAAGAAAGAAGAAAAGGGAAAAAGAAGGCCGGTCATCACAAATATCCTTTAAAAAGAGAAAAAGGAAAAAGAAAATGCAAAGTCCTTTTTTGTCTTGTCTTGTTTCTTGGTTGATTTTGATTCGATCTCATGTTTTATTCTTCTTGAGGTTCTAATTTCTCAACTTTATATTTTTAAGATTAATTGCAGAGAGCATTTGAATTTTTTATCAATTAAAGTTTGGTGGCTTTGTTCATTAATATAGGCAATAACTCGTCGCTAGGATGATTGTTCTATTGGTTTCGAATGAGCTATATTACATCCATGCTGTGGGTAAATATAGACAGAGAGAGAAAAGATGGGTTGCAGAGAATATTTGGAATTTTTTTTTTAAGTTTCTCGGCATTGTGTTTATTAATATGGGCAATAACTTCTTGTTAGGATGATTGATCTATTGGATTTAAATGAGCCATATTACATCCATGCTGTAGGTAAATATAGACGGAGAGAGAAAAGATGGGTGTAGCGGTCAGTATGATCAAATTTGCAATGCACGCTTACCAAGAGGACTTGATCCCCATTCAATTCCATCCGAAGAACTTGCTGCCTCTTTGGGGTAATCTTTCTCAATTAAATTCTTTATATACTTTTTGTTTTGTGTGTGTTGTGTGTTACTGGCCAACTTACGATAATAAAGATCTCACCATGAGATCTGATCCAACATCTGGTCACTCTTTTTTTTCTTCTTCATGTTGGCCTTCTTTGAACTGTATTAAGATGGTTTAGTATAACTCATTTTTGTGATTGGATAGGTAGGATGTAATGAAGAATATTAGTGATCAACTTGTTTACTGCCTAGTAATATTTATGTACTTACTTAGGTGGTGTTTGGGAACCTAGGTTCCAAATTTTTTTCTCATTTTTTCCACTAAAAGACAAACTTTTTACAAAACCAAAAAAAACATATCCAAACAAAATATCACATCCAACCCCATAATCATTTCAGTTTTTCTCTCACAAACATCACATCTAACCACATAAAAACCCAACTATCTTCCCAAACACCAAAAATTTTTTATCCAATAAAAACCTACAACTAAAAAAACCTACATGAAAACTCACTTCCCAAACACCATCTTAGTAACACTGAATCTTGGATGTATTCCCTTCCTTTATTGCTGCTAGGAGCTCTAATAATCTTCTGGTGAGCCTTGTGACTATTTATGTGTGAGTCTTGTGACTATTTATGTATCACCTTATTTTGAAGCTTCTTTGTTTTCATTTTAGAAACAGGATTTATTTTTTTTGGCACTTCGGCCAACTAGATATCTATTAATGTGATAATGAACTCCTAAGAAGAGTTCCATTGCTGATATTCCATTGTGTGTTGCATGTAACATCTTGTTATGATGTATCAGAGATTTATATACGTTGCATTTGATACTATCTTTATATCCCGTACCAAATTATCTTTTTTAGTTAGTTTATGTTCAACTTGAATGTTCTTGTGTTTTAAACTGACTAATGGTTATCAATGGCTTTAACACAGATACATGGTGCAACTTTTAAATCTTGTTGTTGACAATGTTGCTGCACCCGCACTTCATAACTCGGGTTTTGCGGTAAGCTTTGATGCACCTCCATGTGTATGTGTCCAAAGAAAAAAAAATTCTTTGCATCTTGTCTTAAATTTCTTTTCCTATCTTAAGTTTTTTCCAAAAATTCCAGTTTCATTTGTGCAGTGAAAAATATCGTGGAGAGAGTACACTCCATTGGTACCTTTTTATACTATGATATTATTATAAGATATGCCTGCTATGATACCTTGATTCTAATTTTACCTTCCATAATGACAATCTTGGATGTGATGTGCATGTAAATTTTTGCCCATTCTTTGGCAATGGTGTAATATATAGTTTAGGTAGACGTGGTTACATGCCCCATAGTGGAGCCATTTTTTGTAGTTTTGTATACACGATATAATATGGGACCTAATATTAAAATTTAATGAGTATTTATCAAAATATATATATATATATATATTAAAATTTAACGAGTGTCATAATATCGAAGACTCTAAAGTTGAGATCTTAGTTGTATAACATCAAAATAATTATTACATGATTTGGGTAGTGTTGGCAATTCTGTATCCCAAAACTTGAGTCTTTTGTATTGCCCTTGCGGATCTGTTGTAATGGGTTAGTAGGCTAGGTTAAATGTACAACCGTGTTAGGCTTGAAGACTAACACAATAATTGCAGACATGCTTAAATACACTACAAGGTATATTTACATGAGCATGTTGCATTACTTTAGGACACTTAGTTTTTAAATTGCATCAAAATTGGTTTCCTTACCTTATTTGAGTCTTAGTATTATCAGAAATTGTTTTCTTCTTTTAAAGTATGATCTTCTTCCTTCTAAGTTGGGCTTGATTCTAGCTCAAGTATGGGTGCCTTTATTTTTTGAAAAAATTCTAGGAGGCCCCACTTGAGTGGGATTTGCATGTGTCTGACTGCCAGGCATATTCTAGTCCAGAATGGTGTGCTTGAAGATCGCCCAAAGGGTGCTTCACTAGGAAATTTCATTGCTTTTTTGTTGTTTGCCAAATTTACCCTTGATTATGAGATATAATTTTCATAAACAAATTAAATCTTCTATATCTCATCTTGAAATTGTGTTGTCTCATGACAAACTGGGATTTAAAGCTGTAAAAATAAACAAGACACCAACAATTGGTGCTTTGCCTTCAAGTGCTAATCTTCATCTAATTACCTGTATTGTATTCATTACATAATTTTGCTTCAGGGTTCATGCTCCCGAATATGGCAACGAGATTCTTATTGGGATGCCTGTCCGTCTTCCAGAAGGTAATACTGATAGGAAATAATGGTTACTTAGATTTATCAACTGTTGGATTGATCTATAATTAATGTCATGCAGCAATGAATATCCACTATTTATACGGCGCCAAAATAGCTGCTCCACTGGTGGAGAGACTTCATGGTCTGATAGAAGCTCAAGTAATTTTGGTGTTGCTTCAATGGAATCTGAGAGGAAGACCCGTTTGGATTCTTCTGGCGGTAGCTTCAATTTTTCTTCAGCTTCACCACATTCTGTTGAAATGCACCAGGACCTGCAGAAAGGGATTTCACTTCTCAAAAAAAGTGTGGCATGCCTAACAGCCTACTGTTATAACTCATTATACTTAGATGTTCCTACCGAGGCATCTACTTTTGAATCCTTTGCAAAGTTGTTGGCCACACTTTCTTCTTCCAAGGAAGTTCGATCTGTTTTTTCCTTGAAAATGGAGTCTTCAAGGTATTTACCCCATTTTCTCTTGTATGGTACTTGATATGCACACCATCTTTTCGGTTCACTATTCACACATCATCAAAGAAAGACAAGTTTCACAAAACCTGGATGGATATTGTTTTTAGAAGCAAATGTTTATAGAGATTCAAAGTAAAACTTGCCAACTGTATAATTCAATCTGGCTGTAATTTCTCTGTAGGTGGGCTCATGATTGAGCCATATGCCCTGCTGCAATTGGAAGAGGAATATACACTGGAAGAGTATAAAGAATGTAAAAGAATTTAGCTGCAGTTCCCTAGGAAAGTTACTGTGTGTTAGCTATGGCTGTCAATGTCGTCCTTTGGATAATGCCAAGCTTAAATTTCAATGATTTTGGATTGGCATCAGGATCGATTTGATCCTTCACAATGAAAGAAATTTTGACTTAGGCTTGCAGCTTGATGTCAACCATCTTAGGATATGCTAAAATTCCTAGAAGCCCAAGGGACTTAGCCGACAAAAAAATCTTTGGGTATAATGCCTGCTTTGATCTGGCCATATTGCCGTAGTGGAACTCCATTAATTTCTCTGGCATTGGCCACCTAAGGGATCTTTACATGGGTTAATTCAAAAAACAAGGGCTACAGAGAGATTTGGAGAAATAGGCTAAGGAATATTGTTTATAATAAAGCTATTTGATGATTTTCAGATACTCAAAGGCCGCAAGATATCAAGTTGGTTACAGAACCTTCTTTCTGGATTTCTCATGCTAATGAATTCAATTTCATTTTATTTCTAGATGACATTGAGTACGGATCTCCATTTTGCCTTTTCTATGCTCAAATTAAGCCTATTTGGTTACTCTGGTTTTGGCCTTGAAAACCTCATTGACACGTATCATGTGGAGGATCCTAAAAGACCCTTGGTCCAAAATAAATCTTTCTTTTGTTCCAGACTTAACTGTCTCTGAACATTTCAGCCTTTGGAAAGGCAAATAATGGCATATTAAAGTTATACTACCGAAAAGAAAAAAAAAACAGTTAACGAACTAGACAAATAGCTATGTTTATTATAATTAGGTGCTGCAAATATCAAATAAAAAGAAAAGCCTAAGTAATTTTCAGGTTTTCTTATACTACATCTATTACTTCCACCTACTAGTCTTTGAAGAATGTCAAAAGGAGGTCAATATCTTCCCATCTTTTGTTCCTTGCAATGGAACCACTGAATATTGGTATGAAATTGATCTTTTGAGTATTCCAAACTTACTTCAAATGTCATGCATGACTATTTTTAATTTGCATTCACAACATTTTGTTCACGTGGTGCTTTGTCCTAGTCCTTCTATGTTTGACATTTGTTGATTTTGTTTTGCAGGTCATCAAAACAAGTTCAACAGTTGAACAAATCAGCATGGAATGTGAATTCAGTCATTTCATCGAGTACTTTACTGGAGAGCGCACATACACTACCCATAACAGTATAGATTTCAGGCTTGACTTTGCATCTGAAAAACTATTGAATTTTGTTACTAATGGATCTTTCTTCATTTGTACATTGGAGTGCTGTCATTTTGTGCTATTAACTACTTAGACATCCCTTAAACATTGCAATCCCTTCCATGGCCACATTATAACTTATTCAGTAACAAAATAAAACAAAAATGGATTATGACACATAGGTGTCCTAAACCTTTTTCATACCCATGCAGCACAAAACTCTAACCTAGGAGTGTTTTCACTGCATAGCTTAAAAGCTGTGTTACATGGACCCTTCTATTTCCCCCATAATACCCGTGTCCACCGGATATGACACGGACAAGGGTGTGAAATATGTGTTCGACGCTCGTACCCAATTTAGACACTCAGATCCTTTAATTTGTGACAATACATGAAGAAAAAGAAACTGACATTTGTTAGTAAAGCAATATTTTTAGGCTCCCACATGAATTAGATATCGAAATTTCATATTTTTTCTTAATCATATTTTATTTCTAATATATTTCTACATAATTTAAATCATCTCATCCGAGAATATTATATAATATGCAATATATATATATGCATATGACGTCTTTCCGTACCCATATTCAATTTTGGATACGTACTCCAAGATTGTAAGATTTAAATTTATTAAGCTCTGACGCTTGGGTACACACCCGCACCTGACACTCGTACCCGAGTCCATGTAACATAGCTTAAAACTACATTGGTGGCCTTTATAGGTTTTATATGTTGAGAAGGAATTGTCGGGAGAACTGAAATTAACTGTTCTCATTTAATTGAAATGTTGTGCGTGGTTTTGGTTGAAGCAAGTATTTTTATGATTTCTTTTTAGTCAGAAGAATACTGCTTTTCCATTGACATAATATTTCAATGTGTCACATTGATCGATATAAAAAATTTGTCCTTTAGACATATGAGATTGGTTTTATTGAGTATTTCACATGCTTGGTTGTTGACAAGGCTCTTCTTTTTTCCATCATGCAGAGAAACACCTACAAAAATAACCTTCGAAGTTCTGCTGCCAGTTTTCTTTATGCCACTGACTCATCTGATATTGGAAAGAATGAAAACCTTATAGAAGGATGGGATCTTGTGGAGCATCCCACTTTTCCTCCTCCACCATCGCAAACAGAGGATGTTGAGCATTGGACTCGAGCCATGTTTATTGACGCAACGAAGAAATGATCTGGTGCTTCAACTGCCTACTACATTTGTAAGTTACCTTTCATGCTTGTGAAAGCAATAGAATTACAGTTGGGTCAAGTTTTTTGGACTTGCATTTGTATCTTCTGAGGCCTACACTCAGGCCTGTGCTTATTTTTTGATATGTATAAGATTATATTAAAAAAGGCATCAAGGCGGTGCACCCTGTATAGAAAAATCTATATCATGTATACTTAAAAAATGCCTATTCAAAGGCCTCTACAAAATCCAAAACCTGTGCTTATAATGCCAAAACATGTTGAGAATTCCTCCATCTTCACTTTCTGTTGTGGGATGTCATCCTTTTCTGATTTCTATATGAAGCTTTGATGGATGGAAGATGGATATTCGTGTATTAGCAAAAGGACCATATTTCCTTGTCTTCACTTCTATCATGTAATAGGGTTGGTTGGATCATGTTTTCTTGATAATTAGGAATTGTACTGGTCATTTCCTGTGAAAAATGTGGTGTCCAAAAATTAGCCCAATTTTTGAAAGAAAATTATTTATTTTGCTTTTGCTACTTATTATTTTTCTAATTATGCATTTTGACAGTAACTCTTCTTAATTATTTTCTCATTTTTTTAAAACATTCCCTCTCCCCCTTTTATATTCTTTGTTTTCATTTTTATTTGTTTGTTAATAATGGTACCTTCAGTGATGTGTACCTCTCACATTGTGTCAATTTTTTTAAATTATACCTGCTGCTGTACTTCAATTTTTTGCCATCCTCTGACTGGGTTGACATTTTCATGTTGAATCCAAATTCTCAACCCAACTGACAAAATTGTGGTTCCAATTTTTTTTTTTGCCCTGGAATCATATTTCTATGTTCTCACGCTGAATATTTCTTAGTTGATTATTAAAACTCACATTGTTATGGTAATTGATTAATTGATTCAGTGAATCAATCTTTCCATGAAACATACATGTGGGAATTTGTTTTCTGGTGGTGTCTGCATGTGTCCTGTGCTGCCAAGAAAAGTGGAGGTGGCAGGGCAAATCTTTTAGGCAATTTACAAGTTTTGAACTCAAATCAATATTGTTTGTTGCCTACTTAGCTGGGAAAATATATATATAGATATATATATATTTGTTCTTACAATTTATTGTAAGTAATTGCGTGAATAGATGCAATTGAATTTTTTCAACATGTCGTGGGTTTTATACAAGTGTAAACAAGGTCGACTACAACTGATGAGTCACAGTAGTTATAGTCACTATTTTTTTGAAGTTCAGTGTTACTATACCATTTTATTTTTTTTTAAGACAAATGATTGTTTTTCTTTTTCTCGTTCATAGGTACAGGGAAGACTGAAGAGGAGTAAGTTATTAACCTTCTGAGATGGCTGACTTATTGTATATGTATATAGGCAATTGATTGTAACCTATTAACACATGTACATAGAGATAATCACTACTAGTGTATATATTCAAGTGCAAGTAAATTTATAATTTTCTTTCAGTTATTTTATTTTATTTGGTTTTTGTGGATTTACTGTGATTCATGATACCCATGAAACTTACTTCCATTAATTTCTTTGGTTTGGTCTGTTTTTTTTTTTTTTTGGTGGAATGGTGGTTATGTGTACCCGAAACCCTAAACCTAAAACCTAAAATCTTAAACCCTAAACTCCTAAGCCCTAAATCCTTAATCTTAATCCCTAAATTCTAAACCTTAACCCTAAATCCTAAATCTTAAACCTTAAAATCCTAAACCCAACCCTACACATAACCACTCAAAAAACAAAAAACAAAAAAACCAAATCAACAAAGCCTAACAAATAAATTAATTAATTAAAAAAAAAAAAAAAAGAAGAAAGAAACCAAATCAACAGAGTCTAACAAGGAAAATGCCTGACGAATTTGCCTCGAATCCCAAATTATTATTATTATTATTATTATTATTATTTTCTCTTTTAAGACAGTGTTAGTTTGGTTTTTTTTTTTTTTTTTTTTTTCTTTCCTTTCTTTTCTTTTTGCAAGGGTGTTTATGTATAGGGATGTGCTAAAAAATTAAACATTCTGCAAATGAGTTGGGTTGGACTGATTGGATGATAAAATTGACTGATTAATTTTTTTTTTTTTAATTTTATTTGTTGGGCTGTGTTAGTTTTTTTTTAATTATTTTTTTTATTTTTTTTAAAGGTAGTTATGTGTAGGGGTGTGATAAAAAACTAGACATTCTGTACCAACGCATCATACAAAATTATATGGAATTAATAAATTTTAACTAGCAGACTAACTGGTCAATCAATTAGGTTGGACTGGTTGAGTGATAAAATTGACTGATCAGTTTGTTAATTTTATATAATTTTATACGATGAGTTTGATACAAAATGTCTAATTTTTTTAGTACATCCCTACACATAACCACCCTTAAAGGAAAAAAAACAAAAACACTAACACAGCAAAAAAAAAACAAAACAAAACAAAACAAACAAACAAACAACAAATTCGAGGCCTCTAGCACAAAACAGATAAGACGACAAAAAAACAAATAAACAAACAACAATTCGAGGCATTCGAGCCTCCATTTGTCGAGGCGCAAACATTTTCCATGAAGGAAAATGCTTTGGTCGGAGGCTATTGCCATAGCAATTTTTGCTTTTACATCACCAACGTACAACTTCTCTTTGCACAATTATATACTTCTTTGAATTTGATGAATTTGGTTAATCTTTTGAAAATTGAATATTTTGTCTTTCATATATTTTTTTAAAAATTTTAAAGAATATTTTTAAAATTTTAAACAATTTTTTTACTTTTTTAGATGCACTTTATTTAGATGTATCTAAAAAGTAAAAATATTTATAAAAAATCAACAAATACACAAGAATACGAAAAATGTATTGAATTTTTATTTTTTTATCTTTTTGATATTTAGTGAATTTTCTAAAGATTTTTTTTCATAAATATTAAACTTTTTAAGTATATTTATTTTAGATGTATCTAAAAATTAAAAAAATTACTTAGGATATTTAAAAAATTCTGTGAAAATAAAAAAATATAAATAAAAACATGAAAAATAAAAAAAATAATAATAATTTTCTAAAAGGGAATCATAAAAATCCAAACCAAACAAGTTGAAAAAATCTCGTAAGTTTATTATAATTATAGGGAAACACTATCAAAGGTGTGCATATTATAAATATAGGGGAAATACAATAAAAGAGTGTGCACTATGTGTACCTTATAACTAAAAAAGAACGTATAATTTTAATTTTTTGAATCATAACTAAAAAAGCATGCCATAACTAAACACAACATGAGGCATAACTAAAGAATTCACGAGTCATAACTACAAAAAAAAAATTTGGTCATAATTAAAGAATAAATGATATAATTAGAAATGCACATGGTATATTTTTTTCAAGGGGATGTATATTAGAATTTCCTTAATTATAGTGAGTTCTATTAAAATTTTAATTTATATAAAATTTTATAATTTTTTTGTCAGGAATTTATTAGTTGTATATATAACGATTCTGGTTTAGACCCGGCCCGTTTGATGTTTTGGATCCGAGTATTCCTTGTCTTGAATGGGTGTTGTTGTCTTTATTCTCCTCATTCCTCATTGAGTTGGGTTATTGGAGTGCCTTGGTTGCGTTTGAAACAAGTTAGGAGTCCGTTTTTCAAAGAAGTCATTGCCCAGATTGTGACCTGTTCACTTGAGTGGTCCTTTGGTTGCTTGAGCGGTCTTTGAGGACTTTCAGTATTTTTGCAGGTCTGTAAAGATACTGGGAGGGTGTTGTTCTTCGCTCGAGCGGTGCTTTCTGCGCTCGAGCAATCTTGGCTCGAGCGGAGTTGGGAGTCCGTTTTTCAAATAAGTCATTGTCCAGATTGTGACATGTTCACTCGAATGGTCCTTTGGTTGCTTGAGCGGTCTTTGAGGACTTTCAGTATTTTTGCAGGTCTGTAAAGATACTGGGAGGGTGTTGTTCTTTGCTCGAGCGGTGCTTTCTGCGCTCGAGCAATCTTGGCTCGAGCGGAGTTGGGAGTCCGTTTTTCAAAGAAGTCATTGTCCAGATTGTGACATGTTCACTCGAATGGTCCTTTGGTTGCTTGAGCGGTCTTTGAGGACTTTCAGTATTTTTGCAGGTCTATAAAGATACTGGGAGGGTGTTGTTCTTCGCTCGAGCGGTGCTTTCTGCGCTCGAGCAATCTTGGCTCGAGCGATTTTTCTTGTTACTCAAGCAGTTTTCCTCTGTCTGCAAAACTTCTGGAAGTATAACATTCTTCGCTCGAGCAATAACTTTATTCGCTTGAGCGATCTCACTTATTGTGTCTGGTCGCTTTAGCGGTGTTTTGGTCACTCAAGGGGCTTGCAAGTATATCAGTTCATAAAAGTCACTTTTTCACCTCTCTCTCTCTCTCTCTCTGTGAATATTTCAAAAGCTCAAATCTTTATACTCTATCTCTAAAACTCATCTTAAACTCTCAAATAAACCTAAATCCGTTGATCTTTTCACCATAATCCCTTTGTTAAAAAGATAGAGCTCACCTAAAGTTTCGTTTTAATAAGAACAAAGTTAGTTTTTGATTTCGTTGAGGTTTCTCCACTTTTTCCTTTGCCTTTTAGCTTCGAGGTAGGGATTTCTTTGCACTTTTATATGAATTTTAACTTAGTTATTTGTTTTTCTAAAACAACATTGAGATGTGAGAATTTTTGAACAAATCTAAGATTTTGAAAACAAGTTTTGAAACCCTAATCCATCATTGTTTGATTGTTTCAAACTTTCTTCTAGGGTTTAGGATTTCAAAATAATAAAAAACAATGATATTAATGATAATGGTGAGTTTTGATATGGTGAATTGGAGTTTTGGAGTGAGAAAGAAGAAGAAAAAAAGAAGACAAACTAACTTTGATCTCTTGAGGGAAGAAGATGTAGAGATTTGAATAGGAATAATGGATTATGGTGTACCATGAGAAGAAAAAAAAAATATTTTAAGGTTTAATATGGATTGTCCTTATTAGTAAATTCACATTAGGATATAATAACAATTAAAATTTATAAATTTAAATTGGACGTACTAAAATATTTTTTGGGTTCAAATAGAATGCCCAGAATATATGATAGTAGACAATTTCAAAAAAAAAAGCCCAAAAAATATGAAAAAAAGTACAAGCCCAACTAGCTCAACTGATCCGGACCCACCTACATAGCCTATTAATCCACCTACACAAACTGCAACCCATAATTCGGACAAATGCAAGCCCATTTTTTATGACACGAACTAATGCGGGTCTAGTGAAAACTAGCTGGTACCCGTGCAAAGTCGGTCGACGAGCAGCCTTACATAATACATAGATTACACACACAAAAGTCTCATGTTTTTCTACCTCCCATTAGAAAAAATCGGTGGGACATCTTTCTTTACAGAGAGCAAAGAATTGTTCCTCCGTTTCTGCTTCGCCAAGTATTCCCTTCCAGAGTTCATCTCTGTTTTTCGAAGGACTTCTACCCTTAGATGAAAATTCTTCCCATTCGACGAACTCGCCCCCTTTCTATATATACTGTCGACTTGCTGTTGACCAACTACTGTCCCCATTTGTTAATAAAATACAAGGAATTCCTCATCTAATAGTGAGATCTGGTTGGAACTTAACAAATACATGGAAATCTCTCTGGCAGCCTACTAAATTCTTCATTAATTCGGTAGGGACTGTCGAGTATTTGATGTCGTCTACGACGTTGTAGACGGCGTCTTGGTCGTAGTCCTTGAAGCTTATTCTGCCGGAGAAGTAATTGTGTCGTCCGAGGCTTCTGGCCCAGGCGGTTTTGCCTGTTATTGTTCCTCCGTTTCTGCCTCCACTCTCAATAAATTTCTTGAACAACAATCGTCTAATTCAAATCTCAAATACCCATTAAGAATAGCAGTCCAAGAAACTAAGAGTAATCGTGAATTGAATTGGATCGGATAGCATCTCATCCATCACTTGTTCAAAATTAGGTGGATTGAAAAAAAATAAATCATCATCCATTCACTGGTTTGATGGATGCGATCGAGCGGGGCATTCAGATTGGCAGATGGATGCGATCGGTTTGATAGTTTGGATTTTACAAACTTTGAACATTTTTTTGAATTATAATTCATAACTTTTACAATCTTCAATAACTGCTAATTTGAAAAAATATGTATTACTTATTTATAATAGACCATGGCACCATGCATGAATTTTTTTAAGGTATCATTTTTCATTTTTAGAAAAATATTTATTTTATTATTTTTACTCTATGTTGTTACTTGTTAGCAGTTTTTTTTTTTTTTTTTTTTAAATTTTAACTTCATCTATAGGGTGAATCAGGTTCATGTAAGTGCGGGATGGTTAATACGCCATCTGAACCATATTATCAAATTATAAAATATTTCATCCAAATATGTATAGCGAAAAACACGTATCCATCAAAAATTAATCGGGTTTGGTCGGTTTGGTCAAATGATCACTTTAATCCGTTTAGACATTTCATCAAACCCCTTAGGCCATCTCCAATGTTTCACATTTTCTTTCATCAAATTTAAATTTGATGAAAAATTGATCAGAATTCTACTTCAACGTTGTCATCAGTTTGATATTAAATTGAGGATGTCTAACACTTTTCATCAAATTGAGAATGCCTGAAACTTTTCATCAAATTACTATAGATAGCCATTAGTGTAGGAGTACTAGACGACCGGTCGGTTGTCTAACCGATTGTCTCACCGAATGTCTCCCTAAGCATCCACTTCTTTGTAATTTATACCAGGTAATTTACACTGGCCGATCGATCAGCCAAACACCCACCCAGTCGACTGGTGAGTTGATGAAAGGTTAAAATTCTCCATTCAAGCGCACGATACTAGATAAATTTTTTTAATCAAATTTAATAAAATAAATGAGTAAACGTAAGAGATTCCTCACATGCTTCAACAAGTTGCCAAATCTCGCATAGGAACTAACTACACGTTGTCGTTTAGATTTGAGCTCCATAATCTTTCTACTAAAAATTTTCAATATCTTATAGATCTATTAATTATGAAAATAAGAGAGACACATGCATTTATGGATCACCAATCCAAGGAAATAAGAATCGAGAGAGTTCTTATATTTACAACACACATAAACATAAGGGCAAATTTTTTGATATACTAGGGGATATCCCTATGACAAATTATTTAGGAAAAAGTGATATTATGTATATGGAAAAAAAATTCGGATCGAAAATATTTTGATTAGACAATTCTCTATTTTTGTCTCAAAAAGAAAATCGATGTTGAGGCCTGGATCAAGATCCATGCCAACAAGAATAAAAATACTAAAATCGAGACTAATAATTACCAAATAATTAATAAAATTGATATAAAAAAAAAGATCTTTTTTATCTTACGATTCCTCATGATCAAGAAATCAATTCACCAAAAAAAAAAAAAAAAAATATTGATTGGATGGGAATGAATGAAGCAATACTAAGGTAATGTTTGGTAGAGTTTTCTAAATATGATTTGAAAATATGAGTTGTATTTTGAGTTTGTGAGTTTTGGAATTATGATTTAAGTGTGAAAAATTTGTTTGGTGAATGAGTTTTGAATTAAGTGAAGAATTTTTGATGTGACATATGATATTTGATACAAAAACTTACGACTCGTAATCAAATGCACAACTCAAAATTCTATTAAATGCTCATAAAAATTTTTAAAAAATTCTAAATTTTTTATTTATTTAAAATATAAAAATTAACAGGTGGCAATTGTAAAAAAAAAATGCATTGTTTCGGTCATTCGACCGGACATCTGGGAGTTAACCAAAATTTTCCCGCCCTTGACAAAGTTTTTGAAAGTGAGTATGGAATTAATTTTTAAAAACTGTAAACAAATGTCAAACGCAAATAAAACGGTAGAAATATATTTAGAGAATACAACCAAACACAAGTCGTTCTCTAACGAATTTGAAACTTTGGTTCTTCCCATAATTTGTACTACTTTATAATGCATATAGAATTAAACCGTGGTTTATACCAAGCAAATTACTTTTTTTTTAATATAAATGAAAATGGTAGTGAAAATAAAAAGAGATTTTTTTTTAGGGTTCATGATATTAAGATTTTATAGCATAAAGGACATTCAATATTTTCATAATGTCTAAGGTCTTTCAACATTGATCCAGAGAAATTTCAATCCAGAAAAATTCTTCTCAAAGAAATTATATCCAGAGAAATTCTGAACTTCCCAAAGAATTTCTTTGAGTTCAAATCTCTGGACTAACATAAAAAACACTTGAACCTTTCACAAATTTCTTTGGATCTTTAGACTAACATAAAAAACCCTTGAACCTTTCACAAATTTCTCTGGATCTCTGGACTAACATAAAAACCCTTGAACTTTTTACAAATTTCTCTGGACTAAAATTCAAATTTCTTTGGACTAGCGCCAAATTTCAACGGTAGAAAAAATCAACAATTCTAAAGTTACAAATGTTGAAAGTTTTAGAGTCAAACAAATCAAATTCCCAAACGAAGATACTTTTAGAAAACAAATATACATAGAATAGATTAGAACTACACACATACATATATATACATAAAAAAAGGTAAAGGAGTGAGTGGCAAAAAAGAATCAGAAAATTTTACTCTACAGCAAAAAATCAACTTTTATAAAGAAAGAGAGAAAGTAGAAAGAGTGAGAGAGAGTCAAACATAAACTATACCTCAAAAAGGGACAAATTGAGAATGTGAATATGAGAAGCTCTTACTTTAAAGACCTTGGAGGCTTTGAAAATTGAAATTTGGGCAAAAGCTTCTTCTACAAAACCTCCACCACTGAAGAAGTAGAAAATGAGAGCTTTAGAGAGAGAAATAGAGCACTCGCAGATTGTGTGAGAGACATGTTATTTGCTAAAAACATGACAGAAAGAAAGGGATTGTTTGGTGCGAGAAGAGAGAGAGGAGAGAATGAGAGAGTTGGCGTTATATATGGGTGTGAGTGAGAAATCTTAGATTATAAAAAAAAAATTATTGTAAAGCTCTCCAATTATCAAAAATTAGAAAGGAATATTAGATAATTTTTTTCAAAATAAAAACATCCTAGAAAGCAAAAGGGGGTTATACCATAATACCATCAGTAGAAATCAAAAGGGGGCCATCCCTCGAATGAAAAAAAAAAAAAAAATGAATTAAAGAATAAATATAAAAAAGAAAAGGAAAATGAGTAGGTCCCACCATGAATGATTTGATGTTTTGACCTTGATATTGTATTTTTTTTCTTTTTTTATTGAGTGTCATGTCATTAAGGCCTCGTTTGGCATAACCTATATAATCCATCTTTTTATCTTTTTTCTATTACATCACCTCTCTACTTTTCTGCACATCTTTTCGTAAAAAAATAAAAAGTATACTTTTTTAAGACACCCTAAACCAACACTAATGATCTTTTTAGAACTCTAAAATTAGTCATCCATCGTTGTTGAAAAGAAAAAGAATCGGCAGGCCAAAGAATTTTCCCACCCCTGCAATGAAACTGCGTCGTTTTATGTTGGTTTCTTACGATGAATGTGTATCATCGTTTCTGCGTAAAAGAAAAGCCCCCCCCTCCCTCTCCGCAAGCAAGGCATCTTCCTGTCTCCGAGAGGAAGAGGTACAAAAACCCTAGAAAATTTTCTCGTTTCTCCTCTCGTTCTTCTTCTTCTCGAAACCTACAAAAACCCTAGAAAATTTTCTCGAGAAAGTTTTTGCAGCACATATTTTCTCGAGAAAGTTTCGTATATATGGAGCTGGCTTCTGCGACGCCAAGCAGATCTTGTTGTTTCCCAGTAAGATTGCCGACAACTACTTCAAGCTCTTTTATCGGTTTTTCAAGTCGAAGGCCACAAACTTTCGCTTCTAAATTTGAAGGCAAGTCTCTCATCCTTCGTGTGAGCTTCATCACTTTATGCTCCGTTGTTTGGTTACTGAGAAAATGTAGAAAAATACATAATGTATCAAAGAATAAATTTTCATATACATGGAAACAATGTTGTTGAACTTGGTTCAGCTCATCTGACCTATTCAATCTTTCTTTCATTTTCCTCAATTATCTAGAGAAATAAACAAATACTCTGTTGAAACTGATTAGAATTGACTTGTGCTCATGCTGTATATGTTTTAATTTACTTTTGAAAACAGAATCGAAACCGTATGTCAATTGATTGTTGAAAAAGAAGGTCACTTTTGCTATAATTGCAGTATTGTTTGCAAAAATGTTATAGAGGAATAAAATTTTGATGAATTGAGTGATTACTGATATTCATAACAGGGATATTTGTGATGGCTGATAGCTGAATTGATATTGTTATTCTTCTTAACCTTCTTATTTTTTTCTCTTCTTCTTCCTGTTGCTTTTGTTAAGTATTGTACTAGTTGTTCCCATAATAACTCTTTGTAAATGTGTAACCTGTTTGGTAATCCTAGGGGTTTCACTAGTCTTTCCCAACCTTTCTGAAAATTGGACATTGGTTGGGCATTGATTTGAAATTAGTATTATGTGCACACTGCACATGTACAGCCTTTATTTTTGATTTTTTCTTTTTTTTTTTTTGGTTGGAAAATTACAACCAAAAAAAAAAAAACTGGTTTGATTCTTGTAACAAAATAAACCATGGGTTTTTAATTTTGTCATTTTAAACACCAATCTTTTGATTTGTTTTCAATCTAAACCATTTGCCTATTTTTAAGTAAAACCAATAAAATAAAGGTATTTTAGTCATTAAACTCAACGAAGAAGGATATTTTAGACATTTTATGTATGCCTACATTGAGTTTAATGGCTAAACTACTTTTTTTTTTTTTTGTCGGTTTTACTTGACGGCAATAGGCAAATGGTTTAGATTAAAAATTTTGGTGAAATTAAAATTTCAAGATTTATTTATTTTGTTTCTAAGAAATTTGGGGTTTTTTTCCCAGTAATTACCCCTTCTTCTTTTTTTATAATAAGTTTATAGAGCCTTTACCTCTCAGTAAGCATGTCTTATTCTTGTTACTCATCAAATGAATCTGTCTTTAATTGAGTCCAACTTATGGCCCCATTCAAGTGTTTCTTCATGCTCATAAAATTCTTTTTGATTGTTTCTCTTACCTCCATAAAATAAATCTTATTGAATGACATGGTTAATTAAGATGTACATGGAAGCCAGTTGTGACGGATTGTGGTTTTCTTGTATTAGGTTATTACTTGCTAAGTAATCCGGTTAGGGTGCGGCGGTCTTCTCTCACAGCTATAGTTGGTGATACAACTGCAGTACCAAATGTGTCATCTTTTGAGGAATCTGATCCCTCATCCAATCATGGAGTGCTGACAAAAAATAGTGACGAGAGTGACGGAAATGACGATATTGAGGCTTTGGATGACCAAAAAATGACTCGAATTTGTGACAAGCTAATTGATGTTTTTATGGTTGACAAGCCCAATACAACAGACTGGAGAAGGTTAATAGCTTTTAGCAAGGAGTGGGACAATATCCGACCTCACTTCTACAAGCGTTGTCAGGACCGAGCAGATAGTGAGGATGATCCTGGGATGAAACACAAGCTATTGCGGCTTGGAAGGAAGCTGAAAGAGGTGTCCTTTTATAAACATATACATATATATATATATATATCTTTAAAAGGTCAATCAAAGTGTGGAACAATAATGATCTTGGTTGTTTTCTATTCATGTGGATTGAGAACAATTATCTGAGAGCAAGTTGATGCCGTAATTTGTTTGTTCTTGATCTCAATGCCTGCACATGCACTGCACCAAGGAAATGGCATGAGGTTGCCCTTCTCTCGTGAGCATCAGATGTCATACTCTCCTCAAAATGAATTTGTGTGCATTGAAGATGTCTGATTATGCAATCTCCCATTCTCCTTGGCTAACAGTACTACTACTTTTAATCTACGTTATGAATCAACCATGTTGAGTCTGATGTGGCCATGTTAGGTTCAATTTGAGTTTGTGTTTGTTGGGGAATTCACTTGAAACATATTTTCCCCAGGTTGATGATGATGTCCAAAGACATAATGAACTCCTTGAAGTGATCAAGGGGGCACCATCTGAGATTGGTGAAATTGTTGCCAGGCATCGTAAAGATTTTACAAAAGAATTCTTTATGCATCTTCACACTGTAGCAGAATCTTATTATGACAATCCAACGGAGCAAAATGGTATATTAACTGCATCTTGATTCTCGCTGTTTGGTTATTTTTTGTTCAATTATTTTCACTCAAGTCTTTATTGCCCTTCTAGGTGGATTCATTAGTTTTTAGAGTTATTGCTGAGTGATCACAAATTAGTTTAACTTCTGTTGTAATCGATGGTTATTAGATCAGGATATATGACACTGATTCTATCACCGTTTTCCTGTACGACTAGCTGCTGCTAAGCTTGGAAACATGTGCCTGGCTGCTGTACAAGCTTATGATGCTGCATCCGAAAGTATTGAAGCACTGAATGCTGCAGAGTTGAAATTTCAAGACATAGTCAATTCTCCTTCTGTAGATGCTGCTTGCCGGAAGATAGACAATTTGGCTGAGAAAAATCAACTTGATTCGGCATTGGTGCTCATGATCACAAAAGCTTGGTCAGCCGCCAAGGAGTCAAACATGATGAAAGATGAGGTAAATTGACTAGAAAAGGGATAGTTCGCCCTCTCCCACACTCTTTTTTTTTTTTACATCTTTCCATTACTACTTTCTTTTGTGCATCAGGGTTTGGGGGGTTGGAAGTGGGGGGGTGTTTCTTGTGGAATTGTTTTTTGAACTAGCTTCGTTTTGGAATCTGTTTATTAATTATCTTTATCCCGTTTCATTTTTTCTCAAGTTCCATTGAAAGTTGAAATTTTTCATTAATTCTTTTCATTTTTTTCGATGAAGGGTTATATTATTTAAATGAACTCATCATGAAGGAAGATGATAGACAGTAAAACAGAACCAGTTCTGTGGAAAGAAATCCTAAAGAATAGTGCATATGCTTGTAAAATTATTCTGACTTTTTGGTGGAAAATAAAATTATGCAAAGACTGATTTCAAAAGCACATCGGGATTACACTCAAATGTTGCCTTAACCCTCATAATTTATTTATTTGTTATGTCACAGGTAAAAGATATATTATATCATTTGTACACGACAGCACGAGGTAACCTTCAGAGACTTATGCCAAAAGAGATTAGGATAGTTAAATATCTTCTCACAATTGAGGATCCCGAGGAGCAATTGTGTGCCCTAAAGGATGCATTCACCCCTGGAGAAGAACTTGAAGGGAAGGATGTAGACTGCCTATACACGTATGTGAATTGAAACATTTTTGCATTAATTAATTGTTTCGTTTTGAAATTAAATGCCATCAAATCATAGATTTTCTTAAAGGCCCATCATATGACAGGTTATCTTAAATTTATTTTTATCACAGAATAATCCATCACGAAAACAATAATCCATTGTCTCGTGTTAATTGAATCTGCACTGAGGGATAGTAATCTCTTGGTTCTGGTTTTGTTCCCATTAATTTGGGTCCTTTTCATGTACTTCTTGAATTTGACAAGGGATGGTGATACTAACAGGACACCTGAGAAGCTGCATACCTGGATTAAAGCCGTAGTAGATGCATATCATTTCAGCAGAGAAGGCACTCTTATAAAGGAAGCTAGGGATTTGATGAACCCAATGATCATAAAAAGACTCGAAGAGTTGAAGAAGCTAGTCCAAGAGAAATTCATGTAACTTTTAGCAACAGAAGAAGCTAGTCCAAGACAAATTCATGTAACTTTAAGCCATACTCCGTAAGAGCTTTCCTTCTGTTCCTTGATCAGAAAATCCTCAACCTTGATTTGGGTTTCTTCAAGTTCCTAGTTTAAAGGTCAACTCCAATGAAGTTGCACATGTTCAGTTTACCTTTGCTGGAAATACTGCATACTGAGATACAATAGCATGATAATTTTAGTTTTTTTTTTTACTGTATCTATTGGGAGGTTTATGTTTTGTTTTAATGTGTATTGGGGCTTTTTGTTGGGTCAGTGGACCCTGATTTTTAGCAAATTCAGATTTTTGATTCAATTTCTTTTGAACTTGAAAGTTTCGAAAGCTGAATAAAATCTTGAATAATTTATATATTTATCGGATTATGGAGCGATTTGGGGACTGAGTTTGGTTATGGTGTCAATAAGGGTTTGTGAATTTTTCGTTAGATGATGATGAGAAAAACTAGCAGCAGCTGTGCTGTTTGTGAGACCTCAAATCTTGCTTCCATTTGCGCTCTGTGTCAATTACAGGTGATTTCTCCAAATTCAATATCAAAATTCTATAATCTTATTCCCAAAATAATTTTAACATTTGTGCAATGGGCCGGCGAATTATGAGGTATTTTGTATGCTGTTTGTTATATACAGATTAAATGAGTATAGCACTACTTTGAAGTCGTTGAGGAACCGACGGGATTACTTTATTTCAGATTGAGTGAAGTGCTTGTGGCAAAGGTCTGATTCTGCCCCTTTTGAACTTGTTAGATTATTTCCTCTTGTTATTTTTGTTTGAGGGGTTGTTTGGAATATTCTAAATAAGTGTATTTTTTTACTTTTTATGAAATATGAGTTGGGTTTGAAGTGATGTGGTAGAGAGGTGATGTGGCTTAAATAAGATGATGTGACTTAAATAAGATAGCGACTTTTTGACTTTTTTTGAAGATGCCAAACTTAGCCTGAATATCAGTGGGTTATCTTGTTCCGTCGTGTGCAATAACCATTTGGATGTGAACTTATCCAGTGATAATTTATATTTGAGGCTTTTGGTCATTGAAATGTCAGTTTTAGTGAATCTGTTTAATTCGGTTTTCTGTCTCATGTATTTTTCTTTGTGAGGAAGTATGATCATCGTGATGTATAAGATGTACAACTGTGGATATCATGAAAAAGTAAATCCAATAATTATTATTTTTTGTTTGATAAATAAGTAAATTTATTAGAAAAGCATCAAGAGGATGTAAATAATACAAATTTGAAACCCCCAATGAAACAATACTAAGCTATCAAATCCTCTATGAAATCAACATAAGTTAAAACATCTGGATCAACTGATCCCGTAACCCAACTATATAACACCAAAAAAACCTGCCGCTCCAACCGAGAAATCGACTGAGACACCCCTTGGAATACACGCTTGTTACGCTCCAACTAAATAAGCCACATTAAACAGTGAGAGGCAATCAGCCACGCCTTCCGACTTCTCCTCCCAACCCTCCCCCAGCCCAACTTTGCAAGACAACCAACACTAAACCGGGCTGCACCCAAATCAAACCAAAAATCCCCATAATAAGCATCCAGAGCCTGTAAGTAACTGGGTAGTGAATGAGCAAATGGTCTATCGACTCTGCAGCACTACCACACAAACAACACCAATTCACCAGTATATGCCCACGACCCATCATATTATCAATTGTCAGAATACGTCCTAAGGCTGTCGTCTACACAAAGAAAGCTACCTTGGAAGGCGTGCCCAGCACCAGACACATTTCCAAGAAAAAAAAACCGTATCAACATGAACGAGTGCACCATAGTAGCAAGACATAGAGAAAAGCTCCTGAGAATTGGGACAAACCCAAACCATAGAGTCTTCCCTTGCACTCCCAGGCTACATCCCGTATAAAAAACCCAACAGCTCCGTTAACTGATCCACCTCCCAATCCTGAACCTCACGACGCAGCCGCACATTCCATACCACCGACTGACCTTGCCTTGATTGAACTGCCTCCACCATAACCTCGCAATCCTCGGTAATCCCAAAAATCAGAGGGAACTGATGCTCTAGAGAGGTAGCCCCACACCACTTGTCACGCCAAAAGAGAACTCTATTGCCCAATCCTACCTTCAACTGAATCCTCCGTCAAAACTCCGCCTAGCCCAACCAAATCCCTTTCCAGACACCACACCCATGAGAGTGTCCCACCTTACCCGAGCACCACCCCCTTCTCCCCAGACCAAACTTGGCCACAACCACCTTCCTCCAGAGATGCCCCCGTTCCCCCACAAAGCGCCACAACCACTTACCCAGTAACGCCAAATTAAACAAAACCAACCGCCTAACCCCTTAACTCCTTAGGACGACAGACCCGATCCTAAGCCACCAAATGAGAATGAGAACCCTCCCCCGCATTGCCCCAGAGAAAATCCCACTGCAACTTCTCAATATGCTTCGCAATTGCCACTGGGATCACATGAACCGACATAAAATAAGTCTGGATACTCGACAAGACACTGTTTACCAACGTAATCTTCTCGCCTTTAGATAAACATTAATGCTTCCACCCTGCCAACTGTCGCTGCACACGCTCCACCACTTTGTTCCACACCCCGAGGGCCTTGAAAGAAGCACCCAAAGGAAGACCAAGATACGAAACTGGCAGAGACGCCACTTTACAACCCAAAATCGCGGCCAATACCGGAAACCGAACCACTTCTTCTACTGGAATTAATTCAGATTTTGAGAGATTAACCCGAAGACCAGGCACAACCTCAAAACACAACAACACACACCGAAGGTGTCCAATCTGACCAGCGTCTGCATCACAAAAAACAAGAGCATCATCTGCATAAAAAAGATGGGAGACGACCAAAGAAGATGGTCTAGAACCCACCTCGAAACCCTGCAATAGACCGCTATGAACTGCTGTTGACAACAAACGCTCCAAAGCCTCCATAACCAGAATAAACAGCAACGGGGGAAGAGGATCACCCTGCCGAAGGCCTCTATATGTGGGGGAAAAAAACCTGCTGGAGAACCATTGACCAACACAGACATCCGCACAGTAGAAATACAAAAATGTATCCACTGCTGCCATCTAGCCCCAAAACCCATCCTCTCCAGTAAATACAAGAGAAACTCCCAACTAACATTGTCATATGCCTTCTCAATATCTAATTTACACATTAACTCTGCCTTTCGCTGTCGTAACTTCGAATCCACGCATTCGTTGGCCACCAAAACTGCATTTAAACTTTGCCTACCACCTACAAAAGCATTCTGAGACTCAGACACCACCCCATTTAGCACCTCCCGGAGCCGATTCGCTAAAACCTTGGCCAACAACTTATACACACTACGCAAAAGACTGATAGGTCGAAAGTCTCAAATATCTTCTGCTCTACCTTTCTTGGGAATTAACAGAATAAAAGTGGCATTCAAGCTCCTCTCAAATTGTCCCGTTCGGTGAAACTGCTCAAGCATAGCCATCACATCCTCCTTTAACTCTCCCCAACAGTGCTGGAGAAAAGCGATGGAAAAACTGTCAGGCCCAGGCGCCTTATCTCCAGGCATACTCCGCAACGCCTTACACACCTCTTCGACCGAAAACACTCTCTCCAACAAAAGACAATCCGCCTCTGGAATAACATCAAATGGAACCACATCCAACATTGGCCGCCAAGCACCCTCAATAGGCCGAAATAAAAACTCATAAAAACCCACTATGGCCCCCGTAATCTCCTCTGGGGATGATAACACCACCCCATTCACCCGCAATTTCCCTATTTGATTCACTTGCCGATGCGCATTTTCCATACGGTGAAAGAAGCTCATATTTCGATCCCTATCCTTCAACTATAAACATCTCGATTTCTGGCGAGAACTAATCTCCTCCATACGAGCCATATGACCAAAATCCTTTCGAGTCGCATCCTGACGAGCCATGTCCTCCTCAGATAGAATACCCCTATCTTCTTTCTCATCCAGCCCCTGCAATATTGACAATATTCACCTTCTGAGTCTGCAACTTGCCAAACACCTCCTTATACAATTGTTGTAGATCCTACTTGAGACGCTTCAATTTTTGGGCTAGATGACAGCTAGGATTCCCAAACACAGCATAATTGCCCCACCACTCTCTCACTCTCTCCCCAAAGCCGTTAGACAAAAGCCACATATTCTCAAATCGAAATGGCGACGTACCCCTACTAATCCCCCCACTGTCTAACAAAACTAGCCAATGATCTGATACAAGACGATGCAACTGTAGTTGAAGCACTTGTGAAAAATGCCCCTTCCAATCTCCAGTCACCAAAAACCTATCAAGACGGGACATCGCCTTGCCCCCAGACCAAGTATAACAACTCCCCTGAAGCAGCAAGCGCACTAAATCCATCTCATCAATAAATGAAGAAAAAGCTCCCGTTGAACCAGACACTGAGGTCGCCCCATGCTTCTCTACCATGCACCGCACCATATTGAAATCCCTATCCACACACCAAGGAACCCTCCACCGAAAAGCAATAGACTGTAGCTCCTCCCAAAACGTAACCTGATCTGAGCGTCGAACGGGGCCATAAACCTCGGTGAATGTCCAACGATAATCATCCGTAACATAACGAAACAAACAAGACAGCGAAAAAGCTCCCACCTCTACATCTTCCTTCTCCACTACCCGCCGGTCCCAACACAGAAGGACACCCCCAGCCACCTCCAAAGACGGTAAAAAAGTCCAATCCACAAAGCGCCCCCCCCAAAGCTCCCTGATAGTCTCCCCTCCAATGCGCTCCATCTTTGTTTCTTGAAGACACACTACATCAGCCCTGGCACTACGTAACAGAGATCGAACCAAGACCTTTTTCCCTCTATCATTCAAACCACCCACATTCCTATGACAAAATTTTTAACTGCACGACCACAATAATTGAGTTCCACGGCCCTTTCGACCACCCCTGCCCTTCCCTCCTTTGTCTCGATCATAATTTATAGAGCATTCCAAATTACACAACTCCCTAGAATTTTATTGTTTCTGACCTTCAGATCACACCTACTGTCCCAAAGGAGCTCCCCTTCGCCAGGATTCCTCTATGGTAGAAAACAAATTGAAAGCCTCAAGACCTTCAAAGGAAACACCCAGGTACTGACTAACCTCGAAAATACGGGACAATACCCAAATCGAATCCTCCTTTGGCTGTGGAGGATCATCTCCCTGGAAGTCCACTACTATCTCAAGCTTAACATCAACATCCACTGCAGTCACCACATCCGGTATCGCCAACCCAGCCTCTGGCCGAACCACCATAGCCAACTCCGCCGCCATATGTGTCCAACGAGTGTCGTCAACCCCCATCACGTCTGTGCGCTCATCCTAGCCAGT